TACGTGATCAGATATTGGATCTCATTACACCCCGACAATGGCACCGTATAAATTGTCCTCGATGAGTCTACCGATGAGGCGAGGAAAAACTCCGAAATGGAATTATCTGATGCATCCTGCATCGCCTTGACATGGTATGCAAGTCAAGGCGTATTTACAGTACACGAGAGGACGACCGAGGAGTACGTGCCGTGTATAATCTGGCGCCGGCATTTTAAATCAATGGGGAATGTGACGTTGAATATTCTTCCGATAATATTTCACTTTCCCGTATGTAATGAGAAGTGTGGTCTAGTTCGGGGTATTTTTTCGTATATGGTATTTAAGGTGAAGTGAAACCCCCTTCAAATCAGTCGATTCGAATGCAACACTTTTTTTATGGGTATTAGACCAAACTGTCCGAAACTTTGTCACATCACTCCTGATCATCTATGAATTGTCCTGACACATTCAAAATTTGGATTTTTGGACAAAATTTTTTAACTTAGCCCAGACCAGAACCAAAATGGCGTCGAGCTCTCATATTTCGATCGATATACAACTATCGAAGGCTATGATATGACAAACGGAAGGATCAGGACAATTTTACGACAATTTAGAACACTCTGGTAATCGATAAACTCGCATTTGAACGGGATAAAGGCAAAAAAAGTGTTGTATGCGCTTCTATGCTGAAACGATGGGAATACGAGGTCTTGAAGTGGAAATTTAATTGACCTGGAAATCACAGATGGCGCAGGGGGTCCCTCTGCAGTCAATTGGGGCCCCAGAAAGCATGAATTCAGAGGATTTCTGGAGTTTTACTTCGATCTCTTTATAATTATTGTACGAAAGAAACAGGTGGAGTATGCCATTTGGGACAATACCCAATATAATTCGATACAGCTGTCAATATAGAAACGAACGTCGGCAACGTAGGAATGTAGAAAAATCTTCTTTATCGACGTCGATGAAGTTCCTCGACGTGTTTCACTTCACTTTAAGTGGAAATGTACGTCCACTGAGATTCATGAAGTACCAAATTGGATACATTTGATGCCCGTTATAGGGGAAATTGTGTACCATTGAAACAATTTTTTTGCACATGGCTAAAAAACATTTGAATCTAGATAAAAACAGGGTCTAGAGAAATATTTCAATCAGATTCTGTGTTGGGCTCCACCACCCTCGGTTAACAAGTTAATCCTCGGTTATAATGAACTCTGAGTTTACTTTAATACACGGTTAGATGATCGATGATTTAATCGATGTTGGTGGAATCGACCAATAGTCACCTACATGCAGAAAAATAATATTGTAATCGTTACGTATGCTAGCGGGTCAAAGCATCGTTGTAACCTTAACAACAATAATTGTAGATGTAATTACAATTTTTTGTCCCTTTAACCATTGCGGCTGTAGGACCATCTGTAGAATTCTTGTAAATAAATTGTAGTTATATTTGCATCTGACAGGGTTACATGTATAACATTGGAAAGTAAAAATTACACGTATAAGGCACGGGTAAAACTGACCATCACAGTTGTAAAATTTAAAAACAAGAACTCTATTGAAAACCGTATAATATACCGTAGCACTAGAAATTTTTGCAAGCGTGAACTGTTGTTGTTCCTATTGTGCGTTTAAGACAGCGCGAGAAGCTTTCGGGTCGTCACATGCATTAGTTGCGCAGTCTCGCGAACTGTTAGATTCATTGTGACTTCGGTAGCCGCATCATTCGGTCCTCTTCGAAATTCGGTTTTCGATCTAATTTAAGATAGAGTTTTACTTTTTCAATTCACTGTAATAGTTTGATTAAATGACTACATGGATGACTTTGTAAAAAATGAACTTCAGGAGTAGAGGTTAGAAATCCTAGAACAATCGTTCCAAGGTAAGCTTCACACAAAACACATATTTAATGTTTTCAATGTAATATATCTGTAGGGATTTCCCGAGTTCCCGACAGGAAAGGATACCGTTTACAGTGATACTTTTTACATGCAACAACGGCAACATACATATGTGTTGACGTTTGTCAATGGTAGTTTTTACACGAGCTGACTGTAATATACACATGTCGCTATTGTATTTTCTAGCCACCCCAACGGTAATAAATGCGTTGCTGCATGTTACTTTCTACATGTATTAACAGTAAAGAGTACACTAGCGAACGTTATCATATACACACGTTATGTGGTAACTATTGCTTCAATTGACGAGTTTATGCTGTCACGATTGTAAATATAACTGTCGTATCGTTGTAACTGTAATCATTCTTTGTAATAATGTGTACTACACTGAAATTGTACATTTGACATTTTTAGCAGAGCAATCATTACTTTGTAGAACTGCTATCCTTATATTTCCCAGCGATTGCTGTTATATCTATCCCAATTGTAGTAATTATAACTGCTTTTTTCTCTCCGTGTAACTGCAGTTATCTTCGTTACAAGGTGTACAAAAATTATTCAAGGCAGAGGTATAACAGGCAAGACGAAAAAGACGAAAATAATTCAAATAGTGATAATTATTTTATACGTAACGATAAATAAACTTTATTCCACTCCTACCTCAACGCGTCTCAGAAGTAGGATCAAAATTGTCCTATTCGTCTTTTGGGAGATTCTTTGAAACAACTTCATATCCACACACGTGAACAGTGTTGCCAGCTTTTTACATGAGTATTTGATTTACCAACCTTGCAATTGTACCACTTCTCTCATACGATTTGTAACAAGACATTTAACGGTCACAGCAAATTGAGATAGTTTCTCCCTCTAAATCGTCCGCCATACTAATACTGCAACTATGTTATTAATTTCTCCAATACTCCCTACATGCATTACGTGAACAATAGCGGGTACACGGTAGAACTTCCTCGGGTGCGGGAATCCGAAAGGCACAACTTTTAGTCCTTGGAATAAGCCATACATTATTTTGTACCCACGATCTTGACGTTGTCATTATTTAAACTATCACCATCGATGTCAAGTAACGCATTTCAGAATATCGAAAACGCTAAAATCAAAAACAGAAAGTTGTCTTGGTATCTTTGATACGAGTGCTCACTTGCCGTACTTTCATCTCACCTGAGTAAATACACCCGATTTTGTATTTTCCGAGTGAAAATGCGAAATGATAGACTGAAAGCATAGTGGAATTCGTGAGCATGAGCGTACCATATATGTGACTATACTACTACGAACAAAAACGGTGTTAATTTATACCTCGTACCGAACATAAAAACGAATAATTGCGAAAAGGTCCAAGTTCCATACGCGAAATAATACAAAAATGAAGATAGATTTTACAAAGTGAGAATAAATACAATTGTTAATATACCATCAAATATTATTCTTGCGAAAATGATATTTTGGGACGGTATATTGATCAAAAATATATCAGAATAAAATGTTTCAGAATATCGAAAACGCTAAAATCAAAAACAGAAGGATGACTTGGTATCTTTGATACGAGTGCTCACATGCCGTACTTTCATCTCACCTGAGTGAATACACCAGATTTTGTATTTTCCGGGTGAAAATGCGAAATGAAAGACTGAAAGCATAGTGGAATTCGTGAGCATGAGCGTACCATATATGTGGCTATACTACTACGAACAAAAACGGTGTTAATTTATACCTCGTACCGAACATAAAAACGAATAATTGCGAAAAGGTCCAAGTTCCATACGCGAAATAATACAAAAATGAAGATAGATTTTACAAAGTGAGAATAAATACAATTGTTAATATACCATCAAATATCATTCTTGCGAAAATGATATTTTTGGACGGTATATAGATCAAAAATATATCGACGTGCTCTCTTCGCTATCCGCGAGACTGGTGATGTCCGGTCATCATCGTCAAATAACTCGAATTCAGTCAAGAAGGCCATATTGATCTGAAATGTGCTTAAACTTGTTACAAATTAACGCGTTCGTTCCTCGGGTCTTTTCTCACTTCATAAATCGTTCTTTTCTGTCACATATCATCACTCGACACTAAATGTTTCGTCGAATAATCTCACGTGAGGTGTTTAAGGTGAAGTGAAACCCCCTTTAAATCAGTCGATTCAAATACAACACTTTTTTTTATGGGTATTAGACCAAACTGTCCGAAACTTTGACACGTCACTCCTGATCATCTAAGAATTGTCCTGACAGGTTCAAAATTTGGGTTTTTGGAAAAAATGATTTAACTTAGCCCAGACCGGAACCAATATGGCGTCGAGCTCTCATATTTCGATCAATATACAATTATCGAAGGCTGTGATATGAGAATCGAAAGGGTCAGGACAATTTTACGACAATTTAGAATACTCTAGTAATCGATAAACTCGCATTTGAACGGAATAAAGGCAAAAAAGTGTTGTATGCGCTCTATGCTAAAGCAATGGTAATACGAGGTCTTGGAGTGAAAATTTAATTGACATGGAAATCACAGATGGCGCAGGGGGTCCCTCTGCAGTGAATTAGGGCCCCAGAAAGCATGAATCCAGAGGATTTCTGAAGTTTTACTGCGATTTCTTTATAATTATTGTACGAAAACGACAGGCAGAGTGTGCCATTTGGTACAATACCCAATATAATTCGACACAGCTGTCGATATAAAAACGAAGTCGGCAACGTAAGCATTTAGAAAAATCTTCTCTATCGACGTCGATCAAGTTCCTCAACGTTTCACTTCACCTTAACATTTTCATTCAAGCGAGGATCCCAAAATCTCGGAAGTTGCTTCCCTTTTAGCATTTTCCCTAGATTCGAGGAAGAAAATCGGCCCCCATAAAATAAATATATAATACAAGAAGGAACACGAATTACAGGAAGCCTTTTTTCGACATAGGTAGGAGGAAAAAGAGATAAAAAAAAAAGTCCGATAGGAGAGTCAGAAGCTCGAGCCTGTTCGCGTAGGTAAGGCTTAGCAAAGATGGCAAGGATCGAGCTCGAGTATGTTAATGTGTGTTTCACCGCCGCTCTCCTGGAGCGATCGCATCCGACTCGACAAGGCGATTCGATGTATCGTCAGTCTCTACTCGCGATCGCGCGAAATAACATTACATATTCGACTTTCCCCGCTGGTGGCAAATGTTTTCACCGTACGCACGGTGGTAGTGCAAAACGGGACACCTTTCGAGCAGGATTCCCCGGAGCGGCGCTCTTCTCCTCGTACAAACGCGCCAAGGTGCAAGGAGGTGCAAAGAGGTGCACCAGGTGATTCTCCAGACAGATATCCCCGGGAAGCATGACTTCAAAAGTGATTTGGTTCTTCACCCTGATGTGCCTGGCTGCCGAAAGTCTCGGGAAGCCGACGATCTACAAGAGGAACGAGGACAACATCTTCGAGCCCGGTAATGAGTCAAAGAAAAGAAGTCTCTCTTCGGGGTACCGTTTGCTCAACCAGGGCATTTCACGAGGGAAGCACGGACCTTCATTTTTTATGCAGGCGCACTTGCTTTAAAGTCGAGACTTTCAGTTCCGGAGGCTTTGAAAATCTTTACTCAAGCTTTGCCGTATTTTTTTAAGCCTTGCGAAAAAAAGGGCCCGACGAATTATTGAATAAGTGGGAGAATTCGGAGTAAGGATATGGGGTATGCGAAAAAGAAATCGGAGGTGGCTTTCGGTTTAAGGTTTAGACTTTTCACTCGTTGGAATAATTTGAAATGCACTAACGGTGTCAAGAATTTATTCATTTAAATAACTCACGGCGAGTTTTTAGATATTTTTATTTTCATTGCGAGGTAAAATTAAGACAAGCTTCCTTTCTCCAGTTGTAGTTTTAAAACTCGGACAAAATTGCGGCATCCCATCTCTTCTTTTATCTTGTCAATTTAATATTTTCAAATGTTACGGTGATTGTTTGAAATTTATTTAAATCCCCCGGAAGGAGAGGCAGCGTACAAGTAAGTTTGATTAAAAACCGGCTGCGAAAAGTTCCTCGTCCTGTCGAAATGACGGTTAATAATAATTTTTAATACGAATCAATATTCGGATCATGTAGGATTATACGTGTGAAAATAATATACCGCCCACGTGGTTATGAATACTTTAGATAGGAATCTTGGGTTATGCAAGTGTTCGAGGGTACAAAAGAGGTCAGATATGCAATCCTGAAATATGTGTCTCCTGGATGAGAATTCCACTACTATACGCTTACTGCACCGAAACCAAATCATGCAACTAAATAAATTAATTCTTGGGGAATAATATTTCACTTCTCACATATAAGAAAAACGTAAAAACGTATCCAAATATTTAATTGAAATAACCTGTCAGACTCGACAAATCGTAGGATTTAAAAATCCTGTGGGTCCAATGTATTTAAAAGGACATATTTTTCATAATTTTTTACATACTTGGATAATAGATAAAAGATAAAATAGCGGGGTTATGCCGAAATATCGTATGAAAAATTAACGAAGTACAAAAATGACGGTAGGTGTGGAGAAATAAAGACAACAAGACGTCTGGTTCCCTTTTTCTTTTTCCACCGGTCACTTGGTCGTGAGACCCAAAAATGCAAATAGGTTCACTCGGCGGCACTTAATTATTATACTCGTCGAGTGCCAAATGCAGAAAGGCTGCATTATGCAGCCAGGAGAGTCCGGCACTTTTCCGGTTGCAATCCGAGGGAAACTTTTCTCATCCATTTTTTCCCCCCGGGGAACTTGTTTGAAAACGCGATGCCGCATATTCTCCTGGGTGGAGTGTGGCGCTTTCTCCGAGAAACCCGAGATATCGTTCGACTTAATGCACCTGGAACAATGGCCACCTTGCACACAACCTTCGTGCATGAACGAGCAACAATTTCGTATTAATTCTTACTCGAGCTCCTCGAGGCCTTATTAGGGAAACCCCTGCTCGCTTTTATCAATTCAACAAAAAATGCCTCAAAGTTTAAACATCTTACTTCGGTAATGAAACGTAACATTAATCGTGAATCAAAATGCGGTTAACGAATAAATTCAGAGACAGAAATATAAGATATAAAAGCAAACGACAGTACTGCTACAATTATACCGCTGGGATGAAAATGTTCCAAATCGTGTTTTATGTTTAATTGGAATATTCCTTTTTTATAGAGTCTGGATGTATTTCGAGTGAAATGGAATGAGGCTCCTATTAATACAAAATTAGTACATACATGTTCGAGCTCTTCCTACGACCTAAAACATCCGTAACAATGGATATCTCGCGCACAACCTTCGGGCTTGAACGAGCAACAATCTTGAACTAATTTCGAAGCCGCGAAGCTATCAAGGCTCTATCGGAGAAACTAATCGTTAGGATTATTAAGGTCACCAAACTGCAATACCGTCAAGCATCGGATTAAAACCGAATATCGTGCAAACTTTAACGTGGTTTAACTCATATTAACGTTAATTAGCTCATATGTAATCGTGTCATAATCCACATGTAACGTATAGAATATTGGTTCCACATAATATAAATTATAAAAAAAAAAACTAATTATACGGACATCTATGAAATTGTTATTCATCGAGACGATCAATTTAAATGCAACATCAAGTTCGTAGGTAGGACAATGTAGAATAATTTTATTCCGCGTTGTTTCTCCTTAATTATTCCTGGCATTTAATTCTTTTCAATCGAGTCATTTTTATTTTTGTTCTATTAAGGAGCGACGGGTTCGGGACTGGATTAAAACAGTCGGGGGATTAAAACGGAAAGTAATTTAAATTAGTAGTTGAATTAAAATTTGCCCATCCCTGGTTAGATTCGGTTCGAAGCACTTGGGACAACGGGCTTTGCCCGCGAACTTCTCGAGCTGGAATGAACAACGATGTCGAACTAATTCCGATGCGGAACTGCGCACACAGGCAACATTTTATGAGAGAAACTAATCATAAATTGTATTAAAGTTATCGAGTTACAATGAGATTACAGAAAATGCCATCCCAGCGAGCTCGCCAGCTCGCGGAAGAGAATACTAAGAGCGCCAAGTGAAATCGATTTTTATAATGAAAATCAAGGCCACGGTATTAACCCATCAACACTCGCGATTTCACATATGCACTCGTAGGAAGCACCAAACGTTGTACTTAATTTAATTTATCCGAAACAAAGGACACTTCGCAGATAAGCTTGCCGAACTTATGGGGAACATTTATTTGAGAAATCCTGACGCGAAGCCATGAATGCCACCAAGATTTTCCCAGGGAAACTAAGTAAACGTTTTATTAAGGTCGGCAAGTCATAATGATATTTAAAAATCATATTCTTGCGAGTTTAGTACACACAGCGAATGTTCGCAGGAACTATAATCGAATTTTGTAAGAATCGCGACACTAAATGCAATAAGCTATCAACGCTCGCGGTTGCACGTGGGCAACAATGTGAAATGTAAATTGCAGTTGCACTTTTCACTTAACTCAGCATTATTATTACATTCGATGCATTGTCCCACCGTGAAAATGCCAGTGTCCGATTAGTAGGAAATTGTTATAATACCTTGACAGAGCAGAGAATTTGTTGAATCTTTTTTTCAAAATACTGCCAGGTCTTGCTGTTATCCTCGAATGACGTAGTACAGGAATTAGTGAATTCATCCATGCAAAGTAGGGCAGAATGTAAGCAATTCTACATAAATGTGAATAAGAAAAGGATCCGTAAAGGAAGATTGCGTTGCCGAAAAGATGGGTGTCGCATTCGAAAGTTTCTAGCTCACAACTTCATGGTATCCATGGCAGTCTTTGGACGACTCTAGTACACGTAAATAAACTGCAGGAAATAACTTTCCCTCCCTTTCTCTAAAACGAATTCCAGCTACTTAATACCGAAGACTACGTTCTTAGTACTCGAAAAGTTGTTTTTCTTTTCATGCATTTATACACAAGATACGTATACCCGTGATAAATAAAAATATTTCTTGCAACTTATCCTTTACATTCTTTTTCAGGTAGCCGTTAGTGCAAAATAATTGGTGGTTGAATCATTAAGGTGAAGTGAAACTCTCTTTAAATCAGTCGATTCGAATACAACACTTTTTTTAAAGGGTATTAGACCAAACTGTCCGAAACTTTGACACGTCACTCCTGATCATCTCAGAATTATCCTGATCCATTAAAAATTTGAATTTGTGGAAAAAATTTTTTAACTTAGCTCAGACCAGAACCAAAATGGCGTCGAGCTCTCGTATTTCGATCAATATACAATTATCGAAGGCTCTGATATGAGAAACGAAAGGGTCAGGACAATTTTACGACAATTTAGAACACTTTGGTAGTCGATACGCTCGCATTTGAACGGGATAAAGGCAAAAAAGTGTTGTATGTGCTTCTGTACTAAAACAATGGGAATACGAGGTCTCGGAGTGAAAATTTAATTGACCTGGAAATCACAGATGGCGCAGGGGGTCCCTCTGCAGTCAATTAGGGCCTCAGAAAGCGTGAATTCAGAGGTTTTCTGGAGTTTTACTTCGATTTCTTGATATTTATTGTACGAAAACAACAGGCAGAGTGTGCCATTTGGTACAATACCCAATATAATTCGACACAGCTGTCGATATAAAAACGAACGTCGGCAACGTAGGCATTTAGAAAAATCTTCTTTATCGACGTCGATCAAGTTCCTCGACGTGTTTCACTTCACCTTAAGAAAGTCAGTTTTCTCCCCTCATTAATTACAACCCGTTCCGTCCGAAACAGAAGATCGTAGGGAAGATTGAAGTGGACAAATGAATCTTAATTGGTCACGGTCATGTATTATCTTTCTGGAAATGAGTTAGCCCTGATTTCGTTGATAAGCTATTTTTACAAACATGCCTCGAGATGTAGAACCGAAATCGAAATTTGGAGTGTTACAAGCTTGGTGACAAGTGCGAATAACGGTGGGCTGACGTCAGGTCGCGTGGGTGTCGATTATAGCAAGATGTGATCTCAGGTGCCTTATGCGTACCTCGAGTTGGAATTACACATCGATATTTGCGGCATGGCTTTACATGAGTCCGTACAGAATACGGCGTGGTAGCTAACGCTGGGAGCAAACAATTTTATTTAATCTTTAAATCCTTCTTTCCACATTGCTTTCATTTATACGTTTATATTAGATTAGTGCGTATGTATACCTAATACGATTTTTTTGCTCCAGGTGAAATATATTGGCTGTATTAAATCACAAGAAATTGATGATAATAAATAAATAAGCACAGTGTAGTTTGAAGAATCTAGCGCAAAAAGAAGTATAAATACCACATGTAATATCCTCTTTTTGCATTGATCTTATAATTTTTTTATAAGTGTAATAGATATTGAAGAACTATATTGTTCTCGATAACATACGGTCGATAATTGTTATATTTTATTACTTAATATTTAATTAAAATCGCTTGTTTCGCGGTATTGTTATTAGCGTTAATAATCTATTTATTTCTCTTACTGATTTCAGTAATGGTACCTGTATCGTCCACGGTGATTCCACTACCAGTTTATAAAGTCGAATATGGTTTTGATTTCATATCGAAGGACAAGAAGGCCCAGTCTGCTTTCAAACCGGATGGCGTACTAAAATTAATTACAGGTGAATTTTTTACATATTTAATGCAACCTGAATAATTTTTATGAAAGATAATCACCATGTATAATTTCAACTTTATTTTTTCATCAGAAAATCGATTCTTTTAGATCGTACAGCTATCCGGTCCTTAGCTAAAATCGGTCACTGCAGAACTCGCTTTACATGTGACATTTCTTAAGCTTCCTTGTTTCTCCTGTTGCAAAATGTGCTCCAGGCAGCTCATAAACTGTTAATTATAATATCCGGTTTATCTGGCAGTATTACCTAATATACTTCACTTGAAGGCAGAGACCGTTTAGTATATTACGGTCGACTGATTGCGCTCCACTTTATCTTTTTCTATCTATTTTATACAAAAGCCACAAGAGTGTAAAATGCTTTTACCTTTTTCTAATCGTTTTTCAAACAAGTAAAGGTATTTGATAGTTTTATACGTGATGTTTTTTTTATGAAAGTTCACACGAACGATTTTCTGTTCCAGTGAAGAAGAGCTACGAGAAGAAAGCGTAATGTAACGTTGTTGTCTGCTAACATCGCCATATTCGTGGATAATCAACGTTGACCTAATTGCGATCACGATGGATTTATTTCATGCCAAATCAGGATTATAGAGAGGCTAACGAACAGTAATAATTTTGCAAGAACTGCCATAAATATCGTAACTTATGTACTGTAAAGGCACTTTGAGATGACTGTACAGCTTTGGTATCAGTTTAAGAAATGCTTACCTTACAGATTCTTACACTATTATTACGGCAAACGAATTGCCTCGTCGATATACCTGATCAACTCACAACCTACAGTCAAACTCGGTATCTCCGTTTGTGATTTTGTTTCATCAAAGGATAATCCACTGTCTAAAGTCATTCTGAAAATCAGTTTCTAGGTCGAGTTCAGCACAGCGGTTCAAAGCTTGAAACCAAAAACTAGTTTACCCTCCAGCGTGTCAACGCCGACGCTAAGAGGAACAGATATAGATTCATGTTCACTGTTTATATCTCCTACAACCCCGGAATCAATAATTTCATCTAAATTCGTTAAAAATATAAACAGCGAGTACGAACCATAGTGCACAATAAAGAATAATTATATTAACTCAAAATATAATGAATTACTTGTAGTTGTAAGACATACCACAGTAATGACCTACTGCTGATTTAAAAACGGTAGAAGGAAATTGAAGTATTTCAAACGATATACCAATGATACGTTATCAAGTTTTACTGACGTATAATGACAGTGGTTTGAAGTTGAACCAGACAATGATTATGTAAGTACAAGACCTGTTTTTGCTAAGTTAAACATAAACAGAGTATTGACCATTAGCAGCAGGTAATTACTCATATTAGAACTCAAAGTGAATACGGATCGTAACTGTTCTCACAGTTTATTTTTGTAAACAAAGTGAAACACGTTGCATGGGTCGTATGCTAAAACATTATTAAACTAATTACAGTATTAAAGTAGAAAATCAATCAATGAATACGGAATCATTACAATCAGGAAAAGTACTATTGCAACGTAAGTTGAAAAGTGTTGTTACCTTAAGAGTAATAATAGCGAATATCACTAGATCTGATCATTGTTGTGTTATGAAACATCCATTGCTTGTTCGGCTGAAACATTATAAATTCATAATTAAAAAACAATCGAAAACATTATGAAACTTAATTATTTTAAGTGTATATAGTTCAAACATTAAATGTAAATCTGATATTTGATTGATATTACTGCTGCACTTTTTCTTCGTTTCTATTTGCATACGCAGTATTGAATATTAAAATTAAAAAGACCTCGTGATCCATGCTTTATATTACACCCAATAGTATACATTATGTCTACTAACAATTGTCCGAGTTACACTAACAAATTTACATCTTGGATTATTTTGCGGAGAAACGGCTTCAAATGGTAAATATTATTACCTTTTTAATAAAAAATCTGAATACTTACGTATTTCGTTGAACATAAAATCATCTTGATATTCTTTCAAGAATTGCGTGGATCTGCTTTCATCAAAAAATAAAGAATATACGCGTTTGACATCTTCGATGCTGACCTAGAAATAGATATAAAAGTAGAAAGTATTCTATAATAGTAAGCTTGAGTTATAACGTACTTCAGGGAAAAAAATTGTGATGAAGTTTTTATAACTGTATGTTAATTATTTGTTTGTCTTTTCTACCTTGCGCAATTAAAAGCAATCCAATACTTACTTCTGTACTTTTCCTTCTGCGACTGACAAGTGAAGCTGTAGTAATAAGTTGAATAGCATATCTTAGTGATGTTTCCAAAGCTATCCTTGTAAGCACAGTCAATGCATCATCTGCCATTTCACAATCTTCTTCTTCACATCTAATTTTCAAAATTTCTTTCAATTCTTTTTCTTGGTAGGGGCTGGTTGGAACAATGATCATACGGTCCAACAAATCGATGGGGATACCATGTGGACTTTTATAATTTGTGCCCCTTATTCTAGTGATACCTAAAAAGGATTCAGTAAAAGTATTAATAGGAAAAAATAAATGCATTACATAGGAATTACCTAAACGAAAATTAGTAAACTGAGCCATAATTTTAATAATTACCTCTGTTTGTTGCCATTATAACAACTGGTGCCATCTCATTCTCCAATGCTCTATTTAAAAATGAGAAACACTCGATATCCAACATGTGAACCTCATCAATAAAAAGGACACCTGGTACAATTTCTGCTTTTCCTTCTTCTCTCCATTCTGCTACTTTAGCATTTATTTGTTCACGTACTTCAGACTTAATTTCACCAGTATCACCAGAGAACAAAGCAAGAAATCCATGTGTTCGACTATTTATTACATCAACCTCGTGCAATGTAACCGTATGAACAACTTCTTTACGCTTTTGCAGTTCTCCTTCCGGGCATTGTACAAAGCGAGTTTGTGATCCTGTTGCATCATAGTCTCTGGCTCGAGTAAATGACCGACCAAGTCTATTAATTTTTCCTGTAGCTTTATCAATAGTTACTACATCTCCTGCTTGAACCTGATGAATAAAATTTAAATTAATATTGTCACATTTAATAAAGATATTTAGAGTAATTAAAAATTCATGCCTTTTCTTTCATTAAGCTATCGATCATCTTGTTCCCTAATTCATAAATCGTTTCCATCTCAGTTGTTTTCAGTGTTAACTTTCCAACCTTTGCCCCCACTCCTGTAGCTGGTCTATCTACTTGAATTTCAACAACTTCACCCTCGATAATTTCAGTTTCTTCTTTGATTCTAACTCCAATTGATTTTCTAATAGCTTGTGTCAGAGCTTCCGTCTTGCTCATTTCTAAAGAATAAATTTCTGAACCAGCCATAGAAGTGAATGGTGTATCTTGACCAAGAGCTTGCGCCAGACCCATTGCAATAGCTGTTTTTCCAGTACCAGGCTGACCAGCTAACAAAATGGCACGACCTGCTATTTTGCCCTCTTTAATCATTTCTAGAACAACGCCTGTAGCACGTCGTGCCATAAGCTGTCCAACCATGCCTTGAGAAACCTATGAAAGTAAAAGAAGTTTAATATTTATGTTATTATCAAAGTTACCATTATTGCACAGAAAAGATTTTACATTTCGTGGTTCTAAACTGTCATCCAATCCCAGACCTCGAATGTGAGAATGAGCACCAATTCGCTCGATTCTTGTAATCTCCCGAACTTCTTGGACTTTCGCTGCTGCAACAGCCTATAAATGGGAGATGTCCAATATTAATGTTAGTATCTAAAAATCGAGCATCGAGTATCTATACTATATACCATTTCAAACAGATAATATATGATATAAGAACAGGTAATATATAATAATGTTCAGTAACCATTAATATAGAACATTTAACTAATAAAAGCCTCTACTCTTAGGTTAGGGTACTTTCCTGATGTTACCATGGCAACTAATATTGATGAAACTTGTCTTGAATAATTAATCATATAAGTTCGTGTTCTAAGATTAGTTAGATTATAAATATAAATTTCTATACTATTTCCTTTTTTATTCATGAATATACTTTGAAAATCATAGGTTACATCTTTGAAAATTATAGGTTATAGCCGGTATTTCGTTACTATCGGCTACCTCGTTACTCATTTACTACAATCCTCATTTTGTAACAGTCTTATCATTAGATTATTACATCTAACTATAATATTATATAAAATCAGTGTCTTATCAATAAACTACAATGAAACAAAATTACAAAAACAGGATACTCACCGCCATGATCACACGTGATAATCACTAATAACAGGAATGAAAACTGTTGACACCGTCGTATTTACCGTCGAAAATGAAGGAAAACGCAGACTAAAGCAATCGTTTTTATTGGCCGGCCTGTCGGGTATTGTCGGGAAAGAACCAATCAATAAGCGAGATTGCTTAATCCTGACTGACGAGCAGTGTTGCTACCGTCGCGATTCAGAGGGTAGTAGAAATCCTGGACGTAATGGTTGGGTAATTTCGCATTTTTTGAGGTTTTCGACGTATATTAGATAACAAAGTAGTTTACCGGAGAAAATCATAGAAAACCAGTAAGTTACGTTTCCAATATGAAGAATGCCACAGATGGACGATATACAGCTTATGCTCGATTATAAACATCTTTCAGCACATATGTAAACAGGGAAATATTTTAAGGAACAATCAATTCATTTAGCGATTGTATTCAAAATTGTTTAGAATTTTAGGCTTTCAATATGGCGGATTCTGCAGATGCATGATTTATATATTCGCGAGGTTAACGTCTTTTAGCGCACATATAAACACGTAAAAGGTGTTAACAGAATGTTACTTCTTAACACCAGAGCTGCTCATCTCTGGAAGTAATTAATTTGGCATGTGTTCAAATTCTTTCGACTTAACCCAGTTTAATATCAAATTTCGAATTGGATTTATTATTTTCTATTTAGAAACAGAAGGGTATAATATACTTAGCGCTCACGTAGAAAGCTAAGAACGTATTATACGTTGTAATACACGCGTAGAAAACCATGAATATTATGTACACTCGTTACACTCGAGTGTAGAATGTGCAGACGACGCGAACAAACCTTTTTATAACATCGTGCACTCGCTCGGGATCGAGGGTAGAAAGTGTAGAGAAAGTGTACAGTGACGGACAGGAATGCTTGCTTATCGCCTACTAGCGGGACTATACCTGTAGGGAAGGCATTCATGTCCACAAATGTACACTCGATGAAGGTGCACTCGCAAAATGAACAAACCTAGAAACTTCTCCACGGGGGTGTGAAGCCACGAGACGGAGAGACACCCATATTACATGTCAAAACGTTGCGCCAGATTTGAATAGGTCTTTCTACTTTTCACATTGAGTGTAAAATGAAAGAACGAAATTTAAACCCAAAACTGTCATTATTCCAGTCTAGGTTAGTTTTTTAATTATTTTCTCTACAGATAATAGTAATAAGCAATTACTCATGGAGTCTAACATCCATAATCGTTCTTTTTTCATTACTTTTTCAGAATGAAAAATAACTTTACTAAATTTAAAAAGAACCAATTTCTCAAGTTACATGAAACGAAACGACGGGTTCATCTTATTTCCTTTTCTTCACCTTCCCAGTTTTTTCCTTGCAACTACGAACCACACAGCACATTGATCGTTTTGTCACGTTTAAGTCAGCACTGACGCTGTGATGTTCGACACTTGAATACTGGTATTCATCGATGGTTTCCTCGCGGACCTACTGCCCTCTCCAGCCGCGCGGCGTACTAGCGGTGGGAGCAGCGTGGAATTTGAATCGCCCACAGGGCAGAATGGATTTCCTAATGGTGTAGAACGTAAATATATAACAGACATGAAATCATGATTGCACTTCCACGTCCGAAAGTGGATGCATTGTAAATTTTCCTGTGGCATTTCACTGTATAAATATTAATAAACTATTTTTTTTTTTAAGCTAAGATAATATTCTGACTTCGTTTCAGAGGATGGAACAATTGAATCGTTAAGAACCTTGTTTAGTTTTAATAAAACATGTTTTAATATATTCGTTAAGAAATTCGGTGAATAATCATTTAACAAAAACTACATTAAGTGGGTCAGGGATACTTCACAACAATATGTAAATAATTATCATTAATTATTTTTGTTTATGAACATTTTTTTTCTCTAGGAAATCCATTCTACCCCTTGGGCGATTTAAATTCCGTGCTGCTCCCGCCGCTAGTACACTGCGCGTATGGAGAGGGCAGTAGGTCCGCGAGGAAACCATCGATGAATGCCAGTAAACACGACAATATGGCCGATTTCTCCCCCCTTGGCTTCAATCCCGCGATCAAATGTCCACTCTGTGTATTCCTATGTCCACGGAAATTGCTATCAATTTGAATATGCCACTCAACTTAATTTATTGTACCAAAAGTATCAGTACAATTTTAATATACGAAATATGTTATAAATAGAGGGTTTCTGTGTTTTCAGATCACGTATTTCCTCCAAATATACGATGAGTGTATATATTCATATATACGTTGAAAAACATCAGCGCGACCGTCTTCTGCTCGTCGCGGGCGCCATTTTCATCTGAGCGATCAGCCACGTCCTAAGTTGGTGGCAGCGGTGTGGTGTTTGGTTTTTCAATTGCTGTCTGTTCATTAAAGATTGTGACCTTATTACTCGCGCAGAAAAGAGTAAACCGTAAAAATGGTTTGTACTTCCTTTGTTAATAATAATTACTAATTATATTTAGGTACTGAGCGAGCTTCATGCGGAGTCCATACCTTTCTTTACATGTCAAAAATATATATTATTCTTAATATAGTTTGATATAGGTAATAGTTGCCGTTGATTTATATTATTTCCAAAACATGTTTTATTAATTTGTATACGTTAATTGTAAATGTTATTATGCAGTTTAATGATTTAGGCGTATTTCTTAGTAGACACTGATAATGACATCATTGTTGAGAGGACAGTTGTTTGATTACCAGGAAATTTGCATGGGCTATTTATGATTAGTAATATTGAACTAAAATTGAGTATCATGTTTATAGAGAAGGTTTCTCAACAATTGGTGTAAATAACAGAAGTAATGATAGTTTCTTTTATATTTTCAGCCACTGCGGTTAGATATTAAACGTAAACTAACTGCAAGATCGGATCGAGTGAAGAGCGTAGACCTTCATCCTACGGAGCCATGGATGTTGTGTTCCTTATACCAGGGTAATGTGAACATTTGGAATCACGAGACTCAGACATTAGTGAAAACGTTTGAGGTATGCGACTTACCGGTACGAGCCGCCAAGTTTGTGCCTCGGAAGAATTGGGTTGTTACTGGATCTGATGATATGCAAGTTAGAGTCTTCAATTATAATACATTGGAGCGCATTCATTCTTTTGAAGCACACAGTGATTATGTCAGATGTATTGCGGTACATCCTACTCAACCATTTATACTTACCAGTAGCGGTATGCATAATGTTTTAATTAAATTGTATCTAAATTATTGGAAATAATACCTTTCAAATATTATTTCATAAAAGCTGTCTATTACAGATGATATGTTGATAAAATTGTGGAACTGGGAGAAATCATGGCTTTGTCAACAGATATTTGAGGGTCATACACATTATGTTATGCAAATAGTGTTTAATCCCAAAGACAACAATACTTTTGCTAGTGCATCACTAGACAGAACAGTGAAAGTTTGGCAACTTGGATCATCCACCGCGAACTTTACATTGGAAGGACACGAGAAAGGTGTTAACTGCGTCGATTATTATCATGGTGGAGACAAACCCTATTTAATCTCAGGAGCAGATGATAAATATGTCAAAATATGGGATTACCAAAATAAGACTTGTGTACAAACTCTTGAAGGGCATACTCAGAATATTTCAGCTGTTTGCTTCCATCCTGAGTTGCCTATTGTCCTTACCGGTTCCGAAGATGGCACCGTTAGAATTTGGCATGCTGGAACATATCGCTTAGAATCATCGTTAAATTATGGTTTTGAACGAGTTTGGACAATTGCCTGTTTACGTGGTTCTAATAATGTATCTATTGGTTATGACGAAGGAAGCGTAGTAGTAAAAGTGGGAAGAGAGGAGCCAGCAGTTTCAATGGATTCTTTAGGCGGTAAAATAGTATGGGCTAGACACAGTGAAATTCAGCAAGTCAATTTGAAAGCTTTAGGGGAAGAAGCTCAAGATGGAGAACGGCTACCATTATCTGTTAAAGATATGGGTGCTTGTGAAATTTATCCACAAACTATTCAACATAATCCCAATGGAAGATTTCTTGTTGTATGTGGAGATGGAGAATATATTATATACACATCTATGGCTTTAAGAAATAAAGCCTTTGGCCAAGCATCGGAATTTGTTTGGGCTGCTGATTCAAGTCAGTATGCCGTTAGAGAGAGTACTACTACAGTCACAGTTTTCAAAAATTTTAAGGAACGAAAAAATTTCAAACCTGACTCAGGAGCTGATGGTAAGTCCTTTAATTTTAAGAGGTCTTTTCTATATTATTGACTTTGATTTTTAATTTGCTATTTATTTTTAGGAATATTTGGTGGTTTTATGCTGGGTGTTTCATCGGGTTCGGGTCTTTCGTTTTATGATTGGGACAGTCTGAAATTAATTCGTCGTATCGATATTCAACCAACACATGTCTATTGGGCTGAAAATGCTGCACTGGTAACTTTAGCAACAGCAGACCAATATTTCATTTTGAAGTATCACGCGGATGTTGTAGCTAATGCTTCTGAAAATTCAGAGGATATCGAAGATGCATTTGAGGTGATTTTCTATGAAAAGTAATTTTTAGTCACAGTAATGTTGCTTTTGTCATGATTTTTATAACATAAGCGATACAACATTTTTGCAGATGGTTGCAGAGATGAACGAAGTAGTGAAGACAGGTCTTTGGGTTGGTGATTGCTTTATTTATACCAACAGTGTAAATCGTGTGAATTACTTTGTCGGAGGTGAAGTTGTAACCATTTCTCACTTAGACAGACCAATGTATCTGCTTGGTTATGTCCCTCGAGATAACAGACTTTACCTTTGTGACAAGGAACTCTCCGTAGTTTCCTATTCTCTCTTACTTTCCGTTCTGGAATATCAAACCGCAGTTATGAGGAAAGATTTTGAAACAGCTGATAGGGTCCTTCCAACTGTTCCTAAAGAACACCGTACTAGAGTGGCACATTTCTTGGAGAAACAGGTTAATACAATAAAATTTAACTTAATACATGCGAAACATGTAAAGTCGTACACATATTTGACTCACGTGATAACGTATTGTTTCCAGGGATTCAGAGAACAAGCTCTCGCTGTATCAACAGATCCTGAACATAGATTTGAACTTGCCCTAACACTTGGAGATTTGGCCACTGCGCATACACTGGCAAAAGAAGCAAATAGTCAACAGAAGTGGCGCCAACTGGCAACTCTTGCCACTCAAAAAGGAAAATTACGTTTGGCTCAAGAATGTCTACACCATGCTCAAGATTTTGGTGGTTTACTTCTCCTAGCGACTAGTACCGGAAACGCAAGCATGATTGACAAATTGGGCACAGCGGCTGACGAGTCTGGGAAGAACAACATTTCTTTCTTATCCAATTTTCTTCTGGGCGATGTAAAGAAATGCTTGGAGATTCTCATAAAAACTGATCGCATTCCTGAAGCGGCATTCTTTGCCAGGGCATACGCACCGAGTGAAATTTCGTCCGTTGTAAAATTATGGAGGAAAAAGTTGTCGGCTGTTAGCGAAAAGGCCGGTCAAAGTTTGGCTGATCCAGAACAATATGAAAATCTTTTCCCTGGATACAGGGAAGTCCTCAAGGTTGAACAATTCTTGAAAGAAGAGAATAAAAAGAAAATTCCAGCGTCCGAATTTCCATTGGTGAAGGTACGGATTGAAATTTATTTTATATTTTTGCAAAGTTGTTGATCGATGTAATTAGTAGAATGGACTACAGTTCTATTAATCATTGAATCTACACTGTGACGTTTCAAAAGTCTTAAGTAATCTTTTGATGCGATTACGTCATTCGGCGCTGCTTTCGTAGGATGGATAGTCGAATTGCAAGTACGGCGTTACAGTACAGGTCGGTAACGTCGCGAACGTACTTTTCACCTTGTTCTTTTTCTTATTCAAATTTTATTAAATCTTAACGGATGGTAGTAGTCATCGGTAAGATATAGCAAACTTATGATATGAGCGATTATAGTGATCGGTAGAATACAGTGAGTGTGCCATGGTGGGTAACAATAGTTACTGGTAGTATTGAAAGGGTTAAAATACATGATTCATTCTCAGGTATGATGCAACTAAGTATTGTATATTTTTCGGGTAATTAGTGAGAGCATTTCAATGGATTGCGTTCAATGGATCCGTTTCTCATGAAAGATTTAAGTTGTTAGTTTGTTTCAATTCAGCTTCATTATTACTTAGTTACGGACTTGTCTTAAATTTTGTAATGTTTTGATAATGTTGTTATAGTAATTATACGACACTTAGGTATATTGAAAACTACTTCACTTATGTTCTTAAAAAATATTTAAGACTCCTAAGGGGGATTGTTGTGTAACAAGCTAAAAACTAGCAACTTTTATTAATTTTTTTATAAGAAAACTATTGGTGATGTTAAAATCAGCTTTGTTTTTTAATAGGAAGAGGCATCCTTAAAGTTTAAAGAGATATTCTTTTCTTATTATTTTCTTTATGTATCTCCAAATAGGATATATCTATCTCAGCCACTCCCGGCGGCATAGCGGCTGCCGGCGGGCCGTGTAGCATCTAACATATTCATCTCAATACCAAAAGTAAAATATTTTCTTAAAGCTGGATAGTTTACGCTGGATTTGAACCTATTTCAGTAAGAATATTTCGAAAATTGACAAACTTCTAGCACTTGAAATAAGAATGAACTTTTTTCAGCTCAAAGTCGACTTTAAATTACCGATAAAAATGTTATAAATAAATAATACCATAGGTATTAAAGGTTTATCCCGTGGCGAAATGTATAAGGAATCGAATGGGCTGTGTGCGAAATTGATCGGTTGATTCGTTTTTGAGTTATCCTGTCCGCCAGTTTGAAAAATGTAGTTTCGAGAAAGACACGTTTAATCGTGGCTTCGGTGTCGGTCCAATCTTTTATCAATTTGTCTATATTTTATTTTTTATGTAAAAATATAGTCAGGTAACAAAACATTGTATTTCGGTAGCACCCATTTTATAACCGAGGATTTGTGACGTGTGTTGTTCGGATATCTTTACAGTTATTTTAGATATTTTTACATGTGTGAAGACAACGGCAACGTCCGTCGTAAATAATAATCTGACGCGTTGCACTACATTCGCTGTAACTTAATTTACATTGTTATTTCGATTTATGGAAAAAAGAAAAAAAAAACACGATTTTTTTCAATGTTATACGAGAATCCCCCCTTAAGAAAATTTTGAAGAAAAAGGAAATAAAAGTAAAACAAGATAATATGCATTATAAACGTAATATCTTTGTAACAATGAGAATTCCGGTACAGGAATAAACGTTTGTCCATAATTTTTTAAATCGTAATTTTTGCAAAATTGATCTACGTCACAAAGGACGAAATTCTATGAATGAATACTTGGCACCCAGTGACATTGTAGAGCAGACCTAGTAAATTGATTTATGATGATTGCGCAATAATGAGTGGAAGTTGTGTTCATGTTGCGCAAATTATTTTGGTGAGACTAATCCAGTAGCAGAATCAATCAAGCCACGATTTCTGATTGTAATTGTAGTGACGATTACAATGCTTGGTATTATATAAATATTTTTCTTTGATCCCCGCGCAGCATGCGTGCAAATATATCGTAAAGGTTAGGCGTCGCCTTATTACTGTTATCGATAACGCCGATTGTATTAATTTCGCCACTTCTTTCAATTTTAATAATACCATTCATACATTCCTTTCAAGATTGGCAATCTTATTTTTTCTTAAGAGTAATTTCCGGTCCTGTAAGTAATAAAAATGATTCAGTCTATTAAATATTACATGCTCATGTTTAACACTAGATTGCCAGATGTTGGGTATATACCTATTTTGCCTGAAATGAGTCAATTTGACTCAAACATCGAAATTGAGTTTAAAAAAAAAAAATGAAATTTTATTTTAATGAAATTTTATTCAAAACAATTGTTACATATACATTCTGGAAGTACTCTTTACAGTACCAAGTATAATATTTCTTTTGGAGTAGGAAGTTGGCCCTGAGACGTCTTTGAATTTGGTATGACCGGGAAATCTACCAGTATTTTTACCATCTTTCGATGTTTCCCATAATGTACTATCAGCAGCCCTTTGTGTTGAAATTTCTTCATTATCAGATCTATCTGCAGGGTCTAATTCACTTTCGGTTTCAAAATCAGGAATATATCGTACTCTTCTTTTGCCAAGAGTTATATAACGATCGCTATCACTAGTACTTGATTCACTTTCAGATAGAAAACAAGCTCTTCTTTTTCTAGGAGGTGTACGATGAAGATCTTCATCTTCCCTGCTCGAAAATTCAATCCTATTAGCTTGATTCTCTATTTCATATAGTTCAATATCAGATGCATCGGATTCGATATCTGATTGGTTTCCTCTTATTTGGGTCAGTTTTTTTTCGCAATTTAAGGTCTCTTATATTTTTTGTCATAATAGCAACCCTTATCTAGAACTAAAATATTTATTTACATTTACGTAAACACATCTTATAAATAAATTTTGAAATTACCTTGGTACGCAAAAATTCTTCAAAAATAATTTATAAAATTTATTTCTTTTTTGTGTTACCAAAAATGCATTATTCTCTCCGATGCCATAAATCGAAATGGAAGAGCACAAAGAATTTTTTATCAGAGCTTTCATAAAAGCCTTCAACAAAAAAGACTCGCAACAAATAATTTCACAATATTGAATGTGCAAGTTTGCAATAGATATCTAAGTAAATTGACAAGTTTGAACGTGAAAACTATCGAATCAGATTGTTTACAACAAATTTCTATGGCCAAGAAATAAGTTACATGTGGGTAAAACGACCGACTTTAAAAATATTTAATGATTCGATTTGACTCACATCCGTCAAAATAGGTATAGGACATATGGATTTTTGTAATTAAGGAGTGAGGAGAGGAAGGAATTAGCATTTGTATACATTTCATAATTTTATTAAAAACCAACATATGTTTTAAAAATAAATTATTTAAGTTTTTCTATATATATAGCAATAAAATCGTAAATGAGTCAAATTGACTCGTTCCGGCAATCTAGTGTCAACAGTATTTAAAACTACCGGTCGATTTTTTGGGGGCCATCTAAAACCAATCATTTTGACTGGGTTTGGGAGTTCTAGGGTTAATACATAATTATCTATGCACAATAAACAGAAATAGAGCGCATTTTTATTTAGTGATTGTATTTAAATTTCAGTGCTTTCTTCCGTTATTTAATTTCTTCTCTTTATAACATGTTAAGTCTAGCCAAGGTGTTTGTTGTTGCGCCCTATCAACGTGTTTTATAAACAGTGCGGTGTCGAAAATAAATAGTATACAAACCGGTGCTTGTTTACTGCGACGTGTTACGTGTCAATGGTAGTAAGTTACACGCTTGAAATGTGTAAATGCGACATGCTCTACCACAGAGTTAGCTTGTCGTGACAATGCCATTACCACGAACATAGAAATGTACTTTGAATAACTCTTAATTCTTTTTATTCTTAACTTTCTGCTAAAAGCTGAGGTTATATATTAGAGTAACTTTTTCTCCGGTACAATTTTAGTACCCCGATCGCAAAATCTATAAATAATACATGGAATGATGTTTAAGAGCAAGCATGTTGTTTGATTAACTTTAAAATATTCAAAGAATTAATATTTTTTATGGAAAGTGGTTTTATCTTACACGAAATCTGAACTTATTAAAATTTGTGCGTGATACTTTATTTCTCAAGTTTGCTAGGGTTCATGAAATTTGTTACGATGCTTAAGACTTCTGAAGCGTTTATTGTTTTTCCTAAATTATTGCAATGATTCTCTTTTAATGAGCATTAATTTACTATTGTCTTCCAGCCTAACATCGAGCGCAAACCAATGGAAGAGGTACTGGCTGCCGAAGCAGCTGGTCAGTTCTCATATGTGGAATCTGCATTGCCAGGAGTACCCCAAGAGCAATCAGACGATTCCGCAACGATAGGCGATAGACTTCAAGAACTGCAAATTTCCGAAGTACAGACATCAATTTCCGCACCGTCGAAATCATCAATGCCCGAACAGTCGTCGAAATCATTGAGCAGTGCGAGACCTCTAACGGTGGAGGATGACGACGATGACCTAGATCTAGATGTTGAATTGGATGAAGATATCGATACAACAGTAAGTGAAAATTGACATTACAATGTAGGTACTTCAAAGTGAATTCATTCGTTCATAAGAAACCTCGTGGCGGATACGATCTCATTCCAGCATAGATTATTTATGTCAACCGGCAGTGTGTAATAAATCATCATACTTGTTCAATTATTCAGGTAGGCGTTTTCATATAAACGATGCAAAAATTCAAATTTTTAAAAACGCACTTTGATTTTGATCCGTTAATCATAAGTCATCGCGGTGCCAAGCAGGTAGAAATCAAATTCATTTTCTTCAAAACCATTTACAATTTCCATTGGATTAATCCCCATGTCACTCTTCTATGATTAGCGTTTTAGTTCGATAGATCTTACTCTCCTTAATTCGCGGCAACGAGAAAGTTTACGTAGCCGTAAGCGAGCCTGGAAAGATCAATCTCTGAGTCCTCACCATCTCTTGTTTACTTTTCATGCTGGCATGCAAGTTTTCCTGAAGCGAAAGTAAGTCGATAATTTCGTATCGGCCAATTCCTCCGATTATTCATTTCACCCTGGTTAATGGTGAATCAAAGTTAAAGTAACCCTTCAACCCGTGGTTATAATTATGGGAACTGTTGCAGCTTTGTATGCGAGCCTTATCGTGACCGGATGGTTAAAACCATTTTTTTTTGCGTTTTGCATAAAAAATAAAAATTGCGTTTTGGTTGTAAATCTCTGTTTGTTGGGTTAGTCGAGACCTCTTCTGGGCGAGGCGATGCCTCCCGATGGCCCCGGGCTCTTCGACGGCTTGCTATTTGTTAATGGGAGCAGAAAGCGCCGGGAAAAGGTGGCCGAGGGCAAGTGCAATTAGACGATGGCTTAATGCCCTTAAATATGACCGAGTAACCCTAGAAGGGTGTAGCGTTACCAAAACAGAGTGCCAGACCCAGCACAGACGTGCACGCGTTGCATACCGGCCGATGTGTACATGTGTAACGGATACGTGGGTTGGGCCGAACGCACCGTATAATGTGATGCTGTATCGTTTATACGGGTATCGAGCACCCGGGACGTATAGTATCGGATTAAATAAAGAGATCAAAAGGAGAGAAACGTCAGAGGGCGAAACAAAAGCGCTTAGTTGGCCCGGGAAGTCTTAATTTAGACGTCTTTCCGCTTCCACGTTTCGGAGGCGTACTCTTCTTTTTTCTCGTCGACAATCGGTGAACGAATATATTATGCAGGTAAAGGCTTCGCTTAGTTCGAAATTGTTTTTGGTTGATCCTGTGGGTACGTTTTGCGAGGGTGATTGTAATGCTCGAATTTTATTTTGGACCAGATATCCAAATTTCGGAATAACCGCTGTAGCACTGAATCATATGAATATATGCAGGTGCGCGAAGGGGAACTGTAGGTGCACTTGAGCTGTTTAAGGTGAAGTGAAATACGTCGAAGAACTTGATCGACGTCGATTAAGAAGATTTTTCTAAACGCCTACGTTGCCGACGTTCGTTTTTATATTGACAGCTGTGTCGAATTAAATTGGATATTGTACCTGAAGTCTTAATTTAGACGTCTTTCCGCTTCCACGTTTCGGAGGCGTACTCTTCTTTTTTCTCGCCGATAATCGGCGAACGAATATATTATGCGGGTAAAGGCTTCGCTTAGTTCGAAATTGTTTTTGGTTGATCCTGTGGGTACGTTTTGCGAGGGTGATTGTAATGCTCGAATTTAATGTTGGACTAGATATCCAAATTTCGGAATAACCACTGTAGCACTGAATCATATGAATATATGTAGTGGCGCGAAGGGAAACTGTAGGTCCACTTGAGCTGTTTAAGGTGAAGTGAAACACGTCGAGAAACTTGATCGACGTCGGTAAAGAAGATTTTTCTAAATGCTTACGTTGACGACGTTTGTTTTTATATTGACAGCTGTGTCGAATTATATTGGATATTGTACCAAATGACATACTCCATCCGTCGTTTTCGTACAATAAATATCAAGAAATCGAAGTAAAACTCCAAAAATCCTCTGGATTCATGCTTTCTGGGGCTCTAAGTGACTGCAGAGGGACTCCCTGTTCCATCTGTGATTTCCAGGTCAAATAAATTTTCACTCCGAGACCTCATATTCCCACCGTTTCAGCATAGAAGCGCATAAAACACTTTTTTTGCCTTTATCCCGTCCAAATGCGAACTTATCGATTACCAGAGTGTTCTAAATTGTCGTAAAATTGTCCTGACCCTTTCGTTTCTCATATCAGAGCCTTCGATAATTGTATATTGATCAAAATATGAGAGCTCGACGCCATTTCTGGTCTGGGCTAAGTTAAAAAATTTTGTCCAAAAATCTAAATTTTGACCGTGTCAGGACAATTCTTAGATGATCAGGAGTGACGTGTCAAAGTTTCGGACAGTTTGCTCTAATACCCTTAAAACAAAAGTGTTGTATTCGAATCGACTGATTTGAAGGGAGTTTCACTTCACCTTAACGCAACGTGTCTGACGGAATACCCGTGTTAAGTCAAAACTCAGCGAATTTATAAAGGCTCATTGCTCCACTTCGCGGTTTTTGCATTCACCACCTTTGTACTTTCGATTAATCGACGAAATGTATCAACTTGGAGAACGGTCGGGAAGGGTTGCTATAAGTATTTCTGATTTAAAAGCCCGTAATATTTAGCGTTCCACCTCGGATCTCTTGTCCAACGAGGAAGTCGTGAGTAAAAGCATGGAGCGGAGCGTGACAAAACATGGAACCGCTCAAGCTCACGGTGTGCCTCTTACGACTCCCTCCGGCTCGGTTTGTTATGGCAACAGAGCTGTAAACAAAATACACCGTGACTGCCGTCGAATAAACAACCCGAGGGGATTTGCGAAAGCTCGGAGAGGGAGAAAGAGAGAGAGAGAAAGCACCCTCTGCCCCAAGCCACGTTCCGTAGTTATATCAGTTACGCGTTATGTTTGTAATGATTCACCATAGATTTTTGCGACATGGACCCACACGCTTCCACGTGTGTTACTTTCGATGGATTCCGAGGACGATAAACTTCTATGATTTCTACGATACTCTCCGATTTTTCGACCAACTCCGTATTACTCATTCGTTTTCTCAGAATTTTTGCAGCGGGGATACTCTTTACTTGAGGTTAAGGTGAAGTGAAACACGTCGAGGAACTTGATCGACGTCGATAAAGAAGATTTTTCTAAATGCCTACGTTGCCGACGTTTGTTTTTATATTGACAGCTGTGTCGAATTATATTGGATATTGTACCAAATGGCATACTCCACCTTTCGTTTTCGTACAATAAATATCAAGAAATCGAATTAAAACTCCAGAAATCCTCTGGATTCATGCTTTGTGGGGCCCTAATTGACCGCGCCATCTGTGATTTCCAGGTCAATTAAATTTTCACTCCGAGACCTCGTATTCCCATCGTTTTAGCAAAGAAGCGCACACAACACTTGCTTTCCCTTTATCCCGTTCAAATGCGAGTTTCTCGATTACCAGAGTGTTAAATTGTCGTAAAATTGTCCTGACCCTTTCGTTTCTCATATCAGAGCCTTCGATAATTGTATATTGATCGAAATATGAGAGATCGACGCCATTTTGGTTCTGGTCTGGGCTAAGTTAAAAAAATTTGTCCAAAAATCCATACCAATACCCTTAAAAAAAAAGCGTTGTATTCGAATCGACTGATTTGAAGGGGGTTTCACTTCACCTTAAGAGAGAGATGGCTCGAACTTCTGTCTCCTACAATATGTAGGCTGACTCTTTCATATCACCTTAATTACGGGAACAGTAATCAAACCACTACGGAGATGGCTTTTTCTTTTCTTTATTGGTAAAGAAGTAACTTAAATAATTTGTGTTAAATTACGGTGTGAGTCTCCGAATTTCAAGCACCTCTGACGTTACCTCCAACACTCTATCCCTTAAGGGGATGGTGAAGTCGATCGAAATGAAGAAGTTCCGGATAATTTTTAATTATACTTATAAATATATTAACGAATTATGAAATTGTAATAGGGTTTAATTGATCGTCTGAATTTGTTGCAGGACCCGAACCTCGAGTATGATCTCCTTGCCGAGGACTAACGGATTTCCGGAATAGCCCAGAGACGTTTCGTACTCACTTCCGTCATCGGGTGTTTCTTAAGTATTAAGGAAGCAGAAATGGCGCAAGTTCGCGTGTGATCATTTTTATCGTATACATAAATATGTTATACATACCAATAGACAGCTGCGTGCAAAGAGAGGTGGGATGGTGAGTGAAATTTGAACGGGTGTTGCGTATGTGAATGAAGAGCGAATGAGAGGTCGATTCGGTTACTGAGAAAGAAACCACGAGTGCAGGGTTGCCGATGAATCGTGAACAGGAGTATATTGTTAATACAAATAAAGCAGTCGGTCTCGTGTCCTCGTCCTTTTCTCTTTTCTCAGTCTTTTTTCTGCCTCACCAAGAGCCTAAGTGGTCGCCGGCAATAAACGTCAGCCGACCTCCACCGAGGGTGATTTAGGCGGTGAGCGGTTTTAAAATGTTTTGGACACGTCGGGGCACCCTGGTTGCACACACCCACCCGCACGCACGTCCACACATGGACCCGTCTGTTTGTAAAATAATATTTAGCGATATTACTCCGCGTACCAGTTTGGGAAACATCTCCTAGAGATCGGTCAAGTTTGTGCAACGTTTACACGTACCGCCTTGGCATTGCGGACGACTCGCCCAATCTCACCTCATGGACCTTAATCTTCGACAGATATATCCGCCCGCAGTCGTTTCCATTATTATATTCATCGAGCGATGATATGATTAAAGATCTTGTAAAAGTTATGTTATTCTGACAAAATCATGTCGAGCAAGTATTTGTCAGCCTTGTTAGACTCAACGGAATCTTCGGTGACAAGTAGCGTTTGAGGTTGTCTCGAGCGTCTTTAGTAAAATCAGAAATTGTCTCTTGGATCGGATGAATTATTTGTAAAATAACATGTAGTGAGATTACATCTATTTGAGAAACATCCTCAAGAGACCGGCCAAGTTTATCAAATATTCGCGTGCCGCCTTCGCACCGAGTGCGTCCCATTAACTCCCGTCCTAGAGAAATCCCTGATATACCGTCGACTCTGTTTTATTAAAATGTAGATTATGTAAGATTTCATATACTGAATCATTCCTGTATTGGTAGAAATTGCATTAAAGCTCTTAATTAATTATAAAAAGAAAAACGAGGCTAAAGTAGTCGATGACAAGTGGGGGTATGAGGTTTCCCATGTCAGAACATCGCTCGTAAATAACGCCCTAGACCGAGTGGACTATTTGTAAAATAATATTTAGCGCGATTATATATATTTTGGAAACATCCTCGTCGCGAGGTTGTGCGGTTATTTGTGGACCGTGACAAGATATACCGGGGAACTTGGACCGGATTCTTTTCAACGTACCGGTTCATGCATACCATTTTCAATTACGTATATTTTCTGACTCGGGAAAAGAGCTTTAGTTTTCAAGGAAGAGGTACGATTTCATCAAGCGAGGAGAGGTTGCGGTTGCGAAATCACAATCGGGTTCGGGAGTCATAAATAACGTTTTAGGTGGAGGCCGAGTAGACGTCACCGAGGAAACCGTGCATTTAGCACGACTCGCACGTGCCTAGGCGGACGCGCGTGTGTCCCGGCAAAATATATTCATTATTAATGCTCGAGTCGACGGTGGATTTGCACCATTACGGCTGAAGCCACGGCGAAAGAGAGCCAATGGACCGAGTCCGCAGAAATATATCCAGTGGACGGTCGTCGACTTGACGTCGTCAGGAGTGCCTGGTCAGCGCTCTGGATCAGCCAACACGCGACATGTACACGTCGGTCATGTACAAAAGTGCTGCCCTAAGGATCAAGATCTTGGAGCGTACGGTGCAACTGGGCCTGCTTGTACATTAAGGGCGCTCACCACTCCAGCGATTTTGCAGGGCCTCACGGGGACAACGATTCCGAACGTATTTCTAAACCGATCGAGCTTAACGAGTGCTCATATCGAAGATGAAATGTTGACCTGTGTTTATATGGGAGCGATTTTCGATAAATGGTCATTATCATATAAAAAAGTGCAACGACATAATTTCAATGCCCTTTTACCTAGGAAGGAGGTGCTTGATCGAAAATCGCTCCCATATAAACACACGTCAACATTTTATCTTTAAAACGAGCACTCGTTGAGCTCAATCGGTTGAGAAATACGCTCAATATCGTTGTCCCCGTGGAGCACCTTTTTCAGGATTTTCAAGTTTCTCGCGAGGAATTTGGGCATTCCTTAGCAACCGTTGCCGACTCTAGGCGGAGCGTCCAACTTGCGTGTGCGTGCGGCCGAGGGTCACACACGTTTCGGCGCCTAGTCCAGAGGCGTCTAGCCGTTGTGTGAGTTGTATACGTGCAAAATACGCACACATTTTTCGCCCGTTGCTAAACACTGCCCATTATGCGTCGCGTCTCTCTCATCCGAGCGAGAAAGTACGTTTTGGTTACCCCCCACCGAATTCGATGGTAATGCCATCTAGCGGTGGAAGTCATCGTCCCTACTTGGTGGTGAACGCCGTTAATGTACATATATAGGGCGTAACACAATTGATAGTTACGGCTCATATAGCGCTATCCTCGTTGAAAAAGGAGCCCAAAAGTCCTTTACTATTTTTTCCTATATTGTATAAATTTCCTATAATAACTAATTAAATCATAGCCAATCAATCGCGTTTCCGAACGAAACGGATAGTGGAGCTGCGTTTGGCTGTCTGCGTTGCAACCTTACCGGCGTCTTCACTGTGCGTTCCGTTCGGGAGCGTGATTGATTGGCCGTGCCTTAAGGTGAAGTGAAACACGTCGAGGAAATTGATCAACGTCGATAAAGAAGATTTTTCTAAATGCCTACGTTGCGACGTTCGTTTTTATATTGACAGCTGGGTTGAATTATATTGTGTATTGTACCAAATGGCATATTCCACCTGTCGTTTTCGTACAATAATTCTAAAGAAATCGAACTAAAACTCCAGAAATCCTCTGGATTCATGCCTTCTGGGGCCCTAATTGACTGCGGAGGGACCCCCTGCGCCATCTGTGATTTCCAGGTCAATTAAATTTTCACTCCGAGACCTCGTATTACCATCGTTTTAGCAAAGAAGCGCATACAACACTTTTTTTGCCTTTATCCCGTTCAAATGCGAGTTTATCGATTACCACAGTGTTCTAAATTGTAGTATAATTGTCCTGACCCTTTCGTTCCTGATATCAGAGCCTTTAATAATTGTCTATTGATCGAAATATGAGTGCTCGACGCCATTTTGGTTCTGGTCTGGACTGAGTTAAAAAATTTTGTTGAGAAATCCAAATTTTGAATGTGTCAGGACAATTCTTAGATGATCAGGAGTAATGTGTCAAAGTTTCGGACAGTTTGGTCTAATACCCTTAAAAAAAAGTGTTGTATTCAAATCGACTGATTTGAAGGATGTTTCACTTCACCTTAAGGTGAAGTGAGACACGTTGAGGAACTTGATCGACGTCGATAAAGAAGATTTTTCTAAATGCCTACGTTGTCGACGTTCGTTTTTATGTTGACAGCTGTGTCGAATTATATTGCGTATTGTACCAAATGGCATACTCCACCTGTTGTTTTCGTACAATAAATATCAAGAAATCGAAGTAAATGTCCAGAAATCTTCTGAATTCATGCTTTCTGGGGCCCTAATTCACTGCAGAGGGACCCCCTGCGCCATCTGTAATTTCCAGGTCAATTAAATTTTCACTCCGAGACCTCGTATTCCCATTGTTTTAGCACAGAAGCGCATACAACACTTTTTTGCCTTTATCCCGTTGAAATGCGAGTGTATCGATTACCAGAGTGTTCTAAATTGTTGTAAAATTGTCCTGACCCTTTCGTTTCCGATATCAGAGCCTTCAATAATTATATATTGATCGAAATGTGAGACCTCGACGCCATTTTGGTTCTGGTCTGGGCTAAGTTAAAAATTTTTTCCAGAAATCCAAATTTTGAATATGTCAGGACAATTCTTAGATGATCAGGAGTAATGTGTCAAAGTTTCGGACAGTTTGGTCTAATACCCTTAAAAAAAAGCGTTGTATTCGAATCGACTAATTTGAAGGGGGTTTCACTTCACCTTAATTAGTTATTACGGGAAATTTATACACTGTAGGAAAAAATAGTACAGGACTTTTCGACTCCTTTTTCAACAAGGATAGCGTTGTATAAACCGTGATTACCAGTTTCGTTACACCCTGCATACCTATATGTTATGTTTCCGTGATTGGCATATTGGATGCAAAGAGGGAATGTGTTCAGTGTTTTAGATCTAGCAACGTACTTCATGAAACATGGTCATGTCAAGGGTGATCCATTTAAAATCTTCGAGTCTGTGATGTTTGCTTGTGTGCTGAAGCATTTATATATCAAGAAACTCGGTAGAGTGTCGAGCCAACAAAATTTTTGAGCGAAAAACTCGTAGCGTTGAGTGATGCGAGAAACGCGCCCTGCGCGTTCAGTTCGAGCAAGGAATTCAGAAGTCTCCATAGAAGCCCAGAAGGATACGGATAGAGTTCTAAATCCAGTAAGTTACGTCAGAAACGAAGAGAAATTCCCGGTAATTTATCGGTAATTTCTCCAAAGCCTTTTTTATCGAGAAATTATGAGAATTTGAATTTTTCAACAGAGCAAACGAGAGATTTCGATTAGCTATAGAGAAACATCGTAGAGGGGAATTTCCGTTGTACGTTCTCCGTAGCCAATCAAAACCTCCCATTCGCTTCGTCGCAGAATGAAATATCAGTTCGTTTGAAACAAATCGCATGGAATTTTCCGTGAAGTTGTACATACGTGAATATTTTTAGCTGGAGGTAAATACGACCCTATAATCAATATTTTCTAATAATAATTATTACCCTTTAGCTTGAACTTTGAAGTTGATTGGAAAAAAAAAGTTATTTAAACGAAGAAACCTAAAGTATAAATAACAAAATTAACGTTCTCTTAAATTCTCAATGTTCCCGGTAACTTGCGGTATGTTTCACAATTACCTTCTCCAATTTAATGTTACCGAGAATTTTCGAATTCTAGATACGGACGTTCGATGCTCGATAAATAGTATATTAGCCAACGGATGGCGGCGCTGTAATCATCTCTCTATTTCTCTTAATTTTATGGCGATATATAGCGAATTGCATTCTTTCTTTATCTTACCCCTAATACTCCCCTTTCTATATGCGTCTCTCTTCCTCCCGTATGTGAGATAACGTCGTTGGCTAACACATGCGATTTCTCTTTTACCCTCACTTCTGGTTTGTTAGCCAACTTTTAGAGGATCAAGCGCTAACATAGAATCTGGGCTTCTATGGGACTTCTGAATTCTTTGGTTCGAGACGCTACAGAGTTCTATACAGTAAGGATTGAGATTTCAGGAGTGGGGAAAATAGAAATATAACTTCTTCATTGCTACAAATAAAGAAATAAACTTTCGATCAACTCAAAACATCAGATGTTTTTTTTTAATTTACCGGACTTTGACTGCTGCTATCTACGTAATGATAGGGCACGGTAAAGTTTTCGGTCCTATCAGAAACGTTCTCATATCGTCATCGTCGTCTCTCCAGTCACAGACTACCATTTTCGCACTCACATGATAGGTCAACCTTCATACGACTTTTCGTACGACATTCGATGGCGCCCCTCGCGGAATGAAAATGAACTGCGGTGCCCAGCGCTGCAACGATTGACGATTACACAGAGTACGACGCGTGAACCCATCGAAAATGAAAAACCAATCAGAATTGCGCTTAAGGTGAAGTGAAACCCCCTTCAAATCAGTCGATTCGAATACAACACTTTTTTTTTAAGGGTATTAGACCAAACTGTCCGAAACTTTGACACATCACTCATGATCATCTAAGAATTGTCCTGACACATTGAAAAATTGGATTTTTGGAAAAAATTTTTTAGCTTAGCCCAGACCAGAACCGAAATGGCGTCGAGCTCTCATTATCGACGTCGATCAAGTTCCTCGACGTGTTTCACTTCACCTTAACCTCGTGGTCACTTCCGTTGCAGTTCTGATTGGTTTTCATCCTCGACGTGTTGACACGCCGCGCTCTGTGTGGCACACAACGCACTCAGTGAGACGCCGGCAACAAAGTTAATAAACATCGATAATATTTTGAGGTAAACATATATGTGCCGTTTCC